CGTCGTCTCTCTCTCTCTCTCTCTCTCTCTCTCTCTCTCTCTCTCTCTCTACGAACGGAATATAAATTTCCTTTTTGTGAACTTGCACTTTCCTCCTACTAAATCCGTTATCCATTTGGGCAAAATGTAATATCTCCGTCGGTGCGTCGGTTCGGTCCGAGAGGTGCCATCGTGACTCAAAGATACTTTTAACATCGCTCTACGAAACCCGCATGATCGATCTGCGCGACGTTGGAATAAGAATTCCAGCAAATTTTTCAAGAGCATCGATCGTTCTAGCTGTCAACCGATTCACCATCGCTGCTGTGCGCTTTGCTGCGCGATGATCGCTAGAGACGCCCGCGGCGTTTACGTATGCAAATGCTCATAGCGGAATTTGTGCTGTCGCACATTATGCATCGAACTGCGTCGGGGTCACGTCGACCGGCGGAACTTCCGACAGACAAGACGGACCGTTGGAAATGCATGGCAAACAATCCGGTAATGCGCAACGCTTCGCGAAACGTAGCTGCCTACGCGCTGTCCGTACAAATCGCTCGAGCGATTATTTCGGCAGTTATATCTCGTCGTCAGTTACAGTCCGTCAGAAATTTCCGCGGTTGATTTTCGAACGCTCGCCTACGGCTGCTGTCGAAGTATTTCCTCAGGAACGTTCTCCTCCGGAGAATCGATTGTTGTTTGCTAATTTAGACGCATGTTCGAACCAAGTTTGTCTAATGGTACGCGATTTGTTTTGCGCGTGAACAGATTATTGTGGCTTAAAGTTTGTCGGTTAGTCATTTCGAAATTAATTCCTCTCTATTAACATTTTAGTCGGTTCAGAAAGGTCGGTTTTTTTTATTTGCTCTTAATATTTCTTTTTAATCGAATCGTGTCGAACCTATTTGATATTTGTATCTAATCGAGAAGAATTTTTCGGAAGGTTGAGACGGGAACTGCTAAAGTTAATCTCTGGTTATTTTTGTTAAATATCATTGAAACTAGTTGGAGAATATAACGAAGGAAAAATTCCGTTCTCTTTTTTAAAGTTTACAATCAACTTGATCAAATCTCTGCCGAGTGTAGATTAATAAATATTTTGACAAAAACGGAGGACTTGGTCGAGTTCTTTGCACAGCTCGCGCGGCTCTAGGCCGTTTATGCGGAGCACGCACGCGCGTCCTCAAGGGGGGGGTACACCCCCCCTTGAGCGAGATTCTATTTACAAATCCTCCACCGTCTGCGGTCATAAATCGTTTCTACTTTTAAGGACCGTCCGGGATCGCGTGTCGTGTCCAATATTAAGTTGCCTATGGAGATAGTCCTATTAATATGGTGCACGAGGCGCATGGCGATCGTTTACAGAATGTCGCCTAGTGCATGTCCTAAAGCTTAGAAAATCCCTCGGAGAAGAGAGGAAACTTCGGCTTTATATCCAGGGGCGCCGATAGTAAGCCGCCTCCTCTACGAGTTATATACGAGCAAGAGATACTGCTTCAAGTTTCCAAGCGAACTAAGGATCTCCTAATGGATACCCCCAGGTTCTAACTATTAAATGAGCACGATGCACGCCGTAGGGTTTTTCGATAGCTGCTGCTAAAACGAATATAACGTATGAATAAATTTTTTATATTACAATTTTTTCAGATACCTTCCAACGACGTTGCATATTAAGTTTGACGTCAGCTAAATTATCGTATTTTGCTCTCGATACGTAGATTAAAGAGGTTTGCGCGATGCTCGCTAGTTGTATCGATAAAAATTGTATCCAACGGACGTCTCGAAGAGAAGACGGAACAAAAAGTTTGTTGGCGTTAAAGCTATGGAATTACGTGTAACTTAGTTTGTTTAGCGCAATTTCACGCGATAGGGCCGTCAGCGAGCTATCTTGGCACGGTATG